TTTCCCCCTTCTCCCTATTTTTGTTTTTTTTTTTTTTTTTTTTTTTTTTGGTCACTTTGTTTTAGGTGAGCTGACCCTTTCAGTATTTCTTGTAATTCTGACCTCATAGTGAAGAATTCCCTCAATTTTTGTATGTCTGCAGTCTTTATTTCTCTCTCATATCTAAAGGAGAGCTTAGCTGGATACATTATTCTTGGCTGGTAGTTTCTTTCACTTAATAGCTTAAATATTTGATTCCACTCCTTTCTGGCTTATAAGATTTATGCTGAGAAGGCCAACAATAATCTAATGGGTTTTCCTTTATAGGTTACTGTCTTCTTTTCCCTGGCTGCCCTGAGAATTCCTTGTCATTGATTTTTGATAATTTTAATACAATGTGTCTTGGTGAAGGCTTTTTTGGGCTGAGATAATTCGGTGTTCCGTTGACTTCTTGAAATCCAAACTCCAGCTCATTCCTTAGATTTGGAAATTTTTCATCAACTATTTGTCTGAAAATGTTTTCTAATCCCTGCTCCTTTTCCTTGCCTTTGATAATGCCCATTATTCTTACGTTTCCTCTCCTGATGGTATCAGCTAGTTTTTATATTTCTCTTTTATTATTTTTCATCCTTCAGTTTTTCTCTTTTTCCTTCTGATTTATTTCTAGATTTGTCTTCAATATCACTGATCCTTTCCTCCATTTACGTGACTCTTTTTCCCAAGCTTGCTATTTCATTTTTCAACTCTTGCAATGTGTTCTTTATCTCCAGAAGTTCTATTCGGTTCTTTTTGAGGGTTCCAATCTCCTTGCTAAAGAACTCATTCTGCGCATCTAGTTGTTTTTTCAATTCCTGAAATTGTAGATATGAATCGTTTTGGATCTTGCAGAGTTTTTTCAAAAGTACCATCCTGAATTCTCTCTCATTTAAATTGCACATTTCTATGTATGTAAGCTTATTTTCTAGAGATTTTTCTCTTTCTTTTTTGAGATGCCTTGTCACCTTGGTTGTTCATGCTGTTTAATGGACTATTTCTCCACCTGGGCATTAATGAAAGTGTATTCTGCTATTTTTCCAGAAAGAAGATTTATTATATAAAGATCTCTCTTTAGCCTGTTGCAAAGAAGGTGCTTTTCTTTTGGTTTCCAGTAGGTGCATCTAAACTTCTTGGATCCCTGCTTTATATAAAGCCTTAATAATGTCTTTCTTTCCTTCTTATAGATGTTTAATAGGCTTGCTACCCTCAGTCTCAGTCCGTGTCAATGTTAACGACAGTTTCGGTACCATTTGCTTAGATTCTCCTCGGGCTCTGCAGTGTTAGGTCTCAGAGGATATGGGGGGAGGGGCCCTTTGGGTTAGGGGATGGGGGCTGAGGCTCAGCCTTGAGTTTTGCAACTGTGACTGGTAAAATTCAACTGTCATTTCTCTGCCGTCCCCACTTCTCTGCTTTCTACTCTGATGACCGGGCACTGCTGCTGGCTGCATGGAGCTCACAGTTCTCCCAGGCAGGGCTGTTCAGGGAACTTGCCTCACTTTCTCCCCTCCCCCTCTTCCTACAGGTAGCTCCGGCTGTGAGAGGCAACTTCTTTGTTTCTCTAGTCCACTGCCCAACACCCGGGGTTCTGACCAGTGGTAGTTCTTATGTGCAGACCCTGTGCTCAAATGTGCTGGTGTGAAGTTTGGGTGTTTTTTGTTGTTGTTGAGTTTTAAATGTTCAGCTTATTGTTGTTTCAAAGGAAGAGATTTGGGGACATCTCTCACTCCATCATGTTTCGGACATTACTCTCTTACTTGATATTAAAGTTTGATTTTATATAAATTGTACTTCTTCATGATTATTCTTAGGTATATATTTCTGGGTAAGAAAAAATGATGTATGGAGAAATAATGGTGAACTAGTCCTCAGAAATTTGAGTTCTAGTCAAGAATCTACCACTTAAACATATGAACGATTTTGGTCAAGTCTTTAAACCTCTCAGATCCTTCATTTTCTCATTTGTAAAACTGAGAAATTAAATTGCAACCAAAGTGCTATGCTTTATGTGTCCTCATCAATATGTCTGATGTTACCTTTTTCCCCCATTAGAAGCTGATTTTTTTCCAAAGTTAATAAATTCTCAAAAATCATGTATAAGGACCTGAAAAATAACTGAACTCAGAAAGAGAGCATCACCACAAAAAGATACCCCATTTGTGTCCATGCAAGAAAATACAGTACTGATTCCTGCTTACCGTTCGTTCTTCATGGATGAGCAAGCTGGTCTCTCTGCTGCCCAGGCTCTGCTGATGGTACCATGGGGAAGATACAATGTTGTTAATAATACAAGTGGGGAGCATATAACTTTCAACAACAAAAACTCTCAGTTCTCTTTGTAGAAATACTAAACCTGCAATTCAGGGGAGCTATGAAATACCTGAAATAGAATGCAAAACTGTGTGTATATATGTGTATACATGTGCATGTGTATTCATGCACGTGTGGGCATATATATGTGTGTGAAGAGAGAGTTTGAGAAAGAATAAGAATTTTGGAGGTAGCTTTATTAAATCATAAAAAAACCCTGAGACACAGAAATGATTAAGAACCATATTATGGAGAACAGGGAGGTATATTTTTAATGGTGCTGAATCCTGAACAAGACCAAAAGGAAGGGCAGAATTAAGTGGCTATTTTAGGCCTTTCGAATATTTTATGAGAATTATTAAGGTGAATATCTTGGAAAATGCACTGCCAGAATTCTTAAGGATTTGTACTTATAATCCAAGAAAAAGCCATACATGAATATAAATACACACAAACCACTTGTAATTAAAGCAAGAGTGATGCCTCACTTGGTGTATAGTGGATTTTATATCCTCATGTTCCCTGATGGATGGCACACCACAGCAAATGCTCCTGAGAAACTTCCCAGCAATTTCCAGTGACAGGTATAGTAGCATGCTGTGGAGAGGCAGCAGCTAGCAGAAATGACCTGAAACACATGCCCAGACTGGGAATTCATTTACTTGTTTCTTGAAAAATCACAGACAATATCTTATAACACCTAGGTGGTGCTGGGCAGGTCAGTTTTGAAAACAGGAGATAAAATGTGCCATGGACATATTTTTTTAAAAAGAATTCATAGGGCACCTTGGAAATACACCCAATGCTATAAAAGTTAAGTCTCAGAATGTGCCACAATAAAGCAGTAATTTATCTGTGTTCTTAAGGAGAACAAGAAAGAGATAACACTAAACACATATCATTTTCAAACAACAGTATTCAATATAAATTCCATAAAAGGATAAATGTCATCTATGGTATTAAAGTTTTACTGAACCAGTGGGAAGAGCTGTGGAAAAACTGAGTCTATTAGTAAATAAGTGATCAAAATCCTATTTCAATGACACGTGATTCTATCTGCCTGTAGACCTTAAATGAATTCCTCTAACTCACCAAAATACATCAGATATAAAATAAATAATGAATATCTTGATCATTCAATTCTGAAATAGCAGCCTGATAATAAACTGTGCATCTACATTTCTGCCTTTAAGACAATATATAAATTTATTACAGCTTCATATTATATTGACTCCTCATAACAATATTTTCAATTATGCTAGAGAACAGTTGTTTTAATTATAGGAGCAGACAAAAAATATATATATTAAATGGTCCAAAAGCAATCACACTAGGAACTTTATAATCTCTCACTCTAGGAAAAATTAATTTGCTGTGACTTTCCAATCAAAAGCTGTGGTTATATCTTCAGTTTGCAAAATGTAAAATAAAATAACATAGGTTCCTTCATACTTTTTGCTGAGTATTCCACTGTCTCATTTCTCACTGACCTTGGCAAAAAGAAAATCTGTACTATTCTCAATCCTACATTTCCCTCTTTAGTGGCCATGACTTTCATGTCTCAAGATGTCTCTTTCTCTGACCCTAACCATAAAGGAATTGAATGGAATGGTGCAAAATGAATGAAATGAGTAATTGGATGAAGAAATGATGCAAACTTCCACTAGTAACAAAATGTGGCAATATAAATCAACATAGAAAAAGAGTAGCCATTCTGAATATTCTAAACATAAGTAGCAATGATTTGGAGATTGGAATTCAGAAGAAAAAATGCTTCTGGACAGGATTCTTAAAACGGTATTCTTAAAGAAGTAATATTGGGGGGGAAAAAGAAGTAATATTGTAGTGATTAAGAGAGCAAGCTCTAGAATCAGATTGCCTGGGTTCAGAATCCCAGCACCAACACTCTGTAGATAAAACAATAACCCAATTTATATAGTCTCACTTTATAGACTGCTCACGACCTTTTTTAATTATGCCAAATTAATTACTTTATATATGTAGACTTGAGCAAGTTAACCTCTCTATGCCACAATTTCTTTACAATGAGATTAAATAAGATTAACACATGGGAGATTCTCAATAAATGTTGGCTTTTTTTAAAATTAATTTTTGTTTAATTTCTAGTGGTATCATAAACATATTTACCATAACTTTTTAATTCACATGCATTTTCTGGATCTCTAAAATTATATCAATGTTAAAAGACGACCTATGTTAATTATAAATCAGAGGTAACTCTCTAGGATTTAGTCTCTTTAAAATTTAAGCAATCATGAAAGCACAGACTATCCTTTGACAGTATAAAACAATTGTGAAATAGTGAGCCTGGAATTTCTACATATTCTTGTCTTGTAAAAAGGCCCATTCATTATAACTATAAAATTCTAATGGACTAAACTGAATGATTCTAGTCATCTCTGCCTCAATCTAAACTTTGAATGGATATTCTGTATTACCAATATATCCGTCTTCAAAAACTGACTGCAATATGTTTTTTTTTTTTTTTTTCAGTATTTGAGCATGAGTAAAAGAAAATCCCGTAGGCACTAAAGAATGTTAAATAAATTGCACTCACTGTTTTTTTCTTTTCATTTTGAAATAATTATAGATTCACAGGAATTTGTAAAGATAGTACAGAGGGATCTTGTGTATTCTCCACCCAGTTTTCCCCAATGGTTACATAACTATAGTACAATGTCAAAACCAGGAAACTGACATGAGGAAAATATGTGTTTGTAGTTCTATGTCATTGTATCACATGTATATTCGAGTAAGAACCAGCCCAATTATGATAAATAACTATTCCATTGCAAAGATTTTCCTTGTGCTACCCCTTTTAAAGTTTTGTCTACTTTCTTCCCACTCAGCATCCATAACTCCTAGCAACCACTAATTTGTTCTCCATCTCTATAATATTGTCATTTTGAGGATGCTGTCTTTTGAGATTTTTTTTCTTCATTCAGCATAATGCCCTGGAGATTCAAGTTGTTGTATATATCAATTTGTTCTTCCTTTTTATTGGTGGGCAGTATTCCATGGTAGGGTGCCACAGTTTGTTTAACCAGTCACCTACTGTAGGACATTTGGGTTGCTTCCACTTTTGGCTACTACAAAAAAAAATCTGTTGTGAACATTTGTGCACAGGTTTTTGTGTGCATATAAGATCTCATTTTTGTGTGATAAATGCCTAAGAGTGTGATTACTGAGTCATATGGTAAGAGTTATGTTTAGTTTTTAAAGAAACTGCCCACAGTTTTCCAGAATGACTGTACTATTTCACATTCCCATCAGCAATTTTGAGAGATCTAGTTTCTCTGCATCCTCACCAACATTTGGTATTGTCACTATTTTATATTTTAGCACTTCTAAGAGGAGTATAGTAATCTCACTTTGGTTTTTTTTTAAATTTGCGAATGACTAGTGATATTGAACATCTTTTCATGTGCTTATTTGCTATCTATATACCCTCTTTAGAGAAATATCTCATCATGTTTTTTGCCCATTTGGTTTCGTTGTTTTTTAATACCACTGGGTTTTGCCATTTCTTTATATACCAAAAATAAGAGCTGTCAGATACACGATGTGCAAATATTTTCTCCCAGTCTGTACTTGTCTGTCCTTAACATGATCCTTCATGGAATAAAAGTTCTTAAATTTGATAAAGTCCAATTTATCAAATTTTACTTTTATAAATTATGCTTTTGTATCATGTCTAATAACTCTTCACCAAGACCTAGTTTCTAAAAAAATTCTATTTTTTCTTCAAAAAGGTTTATAATTTTATGGTTTACATTTAAATCTATAATGAACATTGAATTAATTTTTGCATAAGATGTGAGATTTAGGTTGAAGTTCATAATTTGGCCTATGGATATTCAAATGCTCAGGTACTATTTGTTGAAAAGACTATCCTTCCTTCCACTGAACTGCTTTTGCACATTTGTCCTAAATCGTTTGGCTGTGATTGTGTGGGCTATTTTTGCAGTCTCTATACTGTTTCATTAATCTATGTGCCTCTCTCTGCAAATAACACAAAGTCTTGATTAGGCTGCAGCTAAAAAGTAAATCTTTAAACTGAGTAAAGTGATTCCTTCCACTTATTTCTCCTTTTTTTCAAATTGTTTTATCTCATCTACTTCCTTTACGTTTCCATGTAAATTTTAGAAAAATCTTTATTTATAAAAAGTCTTAATGAGATTTTGATATTGCATTAACCAATACATCAATTTGGGTTTCCACAGGTTCACTGCTCATATATAGAAATGCAATTAATTTCTGTATGAAATTCATTTCTTAGTTTTAGGAGGGCCATGTTTTTTGTTTTGTTTTTGTTATTGTTTTGGTCTTTGTTTTCCTGGATTTTGGTGGATTTTCTATTTAAATCATCATGTCATCTGCAAATAATAAAATAAAAAATAGGAAGAGTTCCATTTATTCCTTTCTGATCCATAATCTTTTTATTTTTTTGCTTTACTGCAAGAACGTTCAGTATTATGTTTAATAGGAGTAGTAAGTGAAGACGGCCTTGCCATGTTCTTGTGGGTTGTTGGGCCTTTTTTTATAATTCCATTTTGATTTATTGAAACAGTTTTTGGGTATATGTTTTTGTATAGTTTTTTTTTTTATGTGGGTTTCGAGATTATATTTTATGTATATATTATTTATCTCAGCCTATAGTGTGTATGTTTTATCCATAGCCTCTGTGGATATGTTTTAACGTAAACCTCACTTCCCTTTACACCCGCAAACCTTTGCTTATAAGTGTCTTAAAATTTTCTCTGCATATGTAGAGAACCACATCAGACATTGTTAAAATTTTTACTTCAACTGCCAAATGTAATTTTGAAAATTCAAGAGAAGAAAGTCTATTGTATTTATTCATATTTTTACTCTTTCTGTTTTCTTTTTCCTCCTTCCCCATGTTACAAAATTCCTT